TAAAAATAAGGCCAATTTTTTCTAATAAATATTTTATACATTCAGGGCCGTAGCCACGAGGGGGCCCCGGGAGGGCCCGGCCCCTTTCCCAAAAAAATTTTTGGCCCCCAAACCTGGCCCCCAGAAAAAATCTTTGGCCCCCAAAAATTTTTCTGCCCCCCCAAATTTGAATTTTTTTTTAGAATTGATTATTTTTATATTTTTAATATAAATTTTAAATATTTATTCAAAAATATTCAAAAAACATGTCTATTTAGAATTGATTATTTTTATATTTTTAAAATAAATTTTGAATATTTATTCTACAAACATATCTAGTTTGTAAAATTTTTTTTTATCCTGTTTTATTTTTATTTTTACCCAATATTAAATTATCATTCATTCATTTTTTTTCATCTGTTTTTGTTGTGTATCACATTCTCTATAGGTATCACATTAATATTATAATATATAACCAGTTATTTTATTTTAGAGCGTTTATTTTAAAATTATGAAGAAACAATCAATTATAAACTCTTATTTTAAGTTAAAGTAAAACAAATGTCAAGCAACATCACCTCTACAAACTACTAGTAATACTACATCAGAAATTTCAGAAACTGATTCTTCTCATAGTTAGTATAAATTTATATTATTATTTCATGACTTATATGATATTGATATAGGGCAATATTTGTATATTATTATTTAAGAGAAAGACATTTATTATTAATATTATCATTTTTGTATAATAATTTTAATTATTAAAATAAATATATTTACTCATATTTCAAGATATGAATGAAGCTAATCTAGAAAATCAAGAGGAGGAAGATGGTAAATAGTTTAAAATTTAACCCAATTCTATTTATATATTTTTGACAATATGAATAGGAGTAGGAGATTATGGTGTTTCATTATTACATTTTGATTTTAAAACAAATAAAGACGAAGAAGAGACTCAATCATCTTCATCTAGCAGCTCAGTCTCTCATTGTCAAGAAGCAACTAGTAATTGATTTATAAATATAAAAATATTATATTTTTTTGTTAATCTTTAAAGATATAATGTTTATGACTTTTTTCTAGTTTTTAATACTGAAATTTTACTGATCAACTTTACTGATAATCTTCATCAGGGTTGGGCACTACAGTAACTTGTATCTTAAATACAAGATAAATTTTGTGTTTGTTCATTTTCAGCATGCCCTTCCTTCGCCCATCCTGATGACCATTATTATTTATGAGCCTTTCCCTCATTACAATTTAATTATAATATTTTTAGTGTCAAAAAAGTCCTCTAATGGTTCAATTCAAATCCCTGGTGACCTTGGCCAGAATAAACCAAATCAAATCAAATTAAACAATTACGAGAAAAAAGATATCCATGGAAGGCAAAGATCATTTCAAAAATCATGGTATAGAGGCCGAGACTGGTTGGAGTATAGTGTAGAAGCTGACGCTGCCTTTTGTTTTCCATGTAGGAAATACTTGTGTAATCCAAGTGATGAATTTGGACAAACGGGATTCAGAAATTGGAAAAATGCGTTAGCTGCCAATAAGGGACTGCTTAAACACGAGAGCTCAAAAGCTCATTTAAATTCAATTACAATATGGCATGATAAAAATCAAAATATAAACAATGGTACAGAAATAACTAAAATGTTGGGAGGTGATCAAATTAATCGTAATCAATATTATATTAAATCAATATTTGATTTGATGCTGTTTCTTAGCATACAAGAGCTACCTTTCCGTGGGACTGGTTCAACAAATATTACGGATGCTGCAAAAGATGAAATCATAATTTATTCTTCTGAACTATTTATAGCAATGTTTTCCTACACCATCCAAAAAGACCCTGAATTAAATAAAATTATGAAATTTATACCCCAAAATGCCCAGTATACATCACCACAGATTCAAAACGAAGTAATATCCATTATGGCAGATATGGTGCTTGAACATATTTCAGACAAATATAATAAAAGCGAGATGCCTTTTTTTTGTCTTAAGGCCGATGAGACGAAAGATGCTTCAGGTTGTGAAAATCTGAGCATAATAATTCGCTATATTTTTTCTGGAGAAATCCAAGAAAATTTAATAGGAATCATTAATTTAGAGTGTCTTTCTGCTGAAAGCATTACAGATTGCATTTTAAAGCAACTTAATGATCTAAATATTAATTCAGCTAATATAATAAGCCAGGCATATGATGGTGCAAACGTTATGTCTGGCCGAAATGGAGGAGTGCAAACACTTCTTCAAAAAAAAATTAATAAAAATGTTCCTTTTATACATTGCTACAACCACAAGCTGCATCTTGTGGTTCAAAATTGGTATAATAATATTGTTATTATTTCTAATTTTTTTAATTTATCAAATGCATTGTATAATTTTTTCAGGCGTTTTAACGTATCCTGTAAATATACAGGCCACACCCTTAAGAGACTTTTAGACCAGAGATGGACTGGTCATTTAGAAACATCTCGCATTATTTATGAGAATTTTGAGGCTATTGGTGAAGTATTATTTTACTTTTCTAATATAACTCTTAATTCCGAGGTTTCAATTCATGATTCAGTCGAAGCCTCTGGTCTTTTATCTCAATGTATTAATATAAATTACATTATATTAGCCATCATAATTTATGAGATATTAATTACAATAGATCCACTAAATAAGTATCTACAATCAGTAGGTACTAATTTAGTGGATGCTAAAAATTGTATTGATTCTACTATCAATATATTAAAAAATAAAAGAAGTGATAATTCTTTTGCTTTGATTATGATTAAGGCTGAAAAACTTTTATCAAAATTTAATCTCACTCCCCAAAAATCATCACGGGTACGTAAAACGCCTAAAAATTTCCAAGATTTTTTAGTTGATAGCAAACTAGAATTCGATTGTGAAAAAGACTCCAATTGGAGTTCTTTAAAAAGGATATATTATGAAATTATAGATAACTTTGTGGATCGTTTTTTAGACCGATTTACAGAAGATGATTTTAATCTTTTAATACATTGTTCCCCCTTGACCCTGATTATTTTTTATCAGATAAAATGGCCCCATTAAAATCCCTGTTAAACTTAAATATGGAAACACTGCATCATGAAATGAAGATAGTAAAAGGATTGCTAGCTTCGGAAGTTAAAGAAAATCATAATTTTGAAAACATCTTACATATTATGTATAAAAAAAATATAATCATGCATTTAAAGAATTATATAAATGCTACTCAGCAGCAATAATCATTGGGATATCAACGGCTTCTTGTGAGGCCTCGTTCTCTACATTAAAGAGAGTTTTATCGAGCAGTAGAGAGTCTATGAAGGATAAACGTAAACAAAATTTAGTATTAATGGCGTATGAAAAAAGAATAAAGCAGGATTTATCTTTTAGTTCATTTATATTAAAATTTAAAAATAAAAATCGCCATATTCTATTATAGTAATATTTTGTTTTGTATATGCATATTATAGTATTATTTTTTTTTGTATATTCATATTATAGTATTATTTTGTTATTAAATTTTTAATAAAAATAGGAAAAAATTTCTATGAATGAGTAATTATTTGTTTGATTTTAAAAAAATAGTGCCCCCCCCCAAGTTAGCACTTGGCCCCCCTAAGTGAAAATTCCTGGCTACGGCCCTGTATACATTTATATACATTTTAAATGTCAAAAAATCATATTTTTATACAAATTTTTTTAGCAAATATTTATTTCATATTTGAATTTATAAATTTACAGATTATATTAGTAATTGTTAATTTTTTTAGTCATTAATTCTAAAGAGTTTATGAAATTTTAGATGTCAATAATAACTCAAAGATGAATTTTAAAATTTTTTTAAAAAATTACACCCCCTCCCACCCCAAAGCATATCCCTGGCTGCATGCATGAGTTGCAGTCAAAATATTTATAAAATAAACTCTTGTTGATAGTTCAGAAATATTCCTATTTTCTTAGGACATGTAGTTTACCCATATTTTATAGAGAAAAATCATATGTTTGCAAAGCCAGTCTGTGTGTACAGGTAACTGCAGAGTGCCTAAAATTGGGTGGGGGGTGACAAATGGTGACATGGTTAATGTGTATTATAATATACATTCTAGCTTGTAAGTTATAATCTAACATTGATTTTTTGTTATAACATGACAGAAGACTGTGCTAAAACATTTGCTAGGATAGGGAATTTAGTGGCCCTTTCAAAAACTCCAATGACATGGTTAAAGTGTATTATAATCTACATTCTAGCTTGTAAGTTATAATCTAACATTGATTTTTTGTTATAGCATGACAGAAGACTGTGCTAAAACATTTGCTAGGATAGGGAATTTAGTGGCCCTTTCAAAAACTCCAATTTATCAAAGCCCTAAGAAAAAAAAATCCAAATAAATAACAAATAAGGCAAATCCAAGTTAGCAAAAAAAAGGAAATCAAATTTAAAAAATGGAAATATAAATAGCAAAATTTCATTTAAAAATCAAAATTAATTCACAAGAATCATTGTGTCCCTAAAATAGTCTAATTTATGTAGTCCAGCATCCCACCCTTATATCGTGTTTCTATAATATGAATATATATTTTAATAGCTATTTTTTGATAATTAAATTTTTGAAATAAATATGTTGATTTTCTTAAAAATTACAAATTAAATTAACAATTCTTAATAAATAAGCTTGTTTGATCTTTAACCCAGTAAAGATCATCATTTAAAAAATAGCAATAAAATATATTATAAAAATTAACAAATAATTAATTATATTAAAAATAAAAATAAAATTAATATAGAAAATAATAACAGTTCACAATATTTTAATAATTTGGATGATTTTTAGGCTCAATATTTGCCATTATATATCAAATATCCTAATATTATGTATTCATTTAGATTATTATTCTTAAAGAAAATTATAATATCTTAAAATAAAGATAATCTTGGTGAAATATAAAATAATATACAAAAGTAGATAAATCAAAAATTGATAAAATAATGAATAGAAAATTCTCACAAGTTTTTGGTGAATGATGGGAAATTTAAAAGCGTATGATAGGATAAGTGGTTGTATGTTGAAAGATCGTAATTTAGGTAATATCTGAAAGGTCATACAGCTTTAAAGATGCATCCCTTCTATTGTTCTTTTTAAAATACTAATAACTAACTGAATACTAATTATGGAATTAAAAAATATGACTAAGTACACTTTTTTAAGCTCATCTTAAAGAATAGAATATCATCACCCAAGATCATTTTTAAAAAATCTAAGAAATTGTGTTCAGGCTGCTAATTTGAATATAATTTATACAATGTTGAGCCCAAGATAAGGTACAACCTAAAATTTTAACATATTAAATATTTTAAAATAGAAAAAAAAGCAATAAAATAATTTAATGTAGAACTATATCTACCTGAGAGGTATTTTGGAGCAATCCCATTTCTACATAAATTTTTAGTTGCTAAAAGATAAAAAAAGTATTTTTGTTACAAGCTTTTTAAATTGTTACGATATTACTTAATTTACTTCGAAGCTTTGTTAAAGTTAAAGTAGCAGGATTTTTTTTTTGTTACTTTAGAGATAGTTTTCTATTTTTTTTGAAAGATATTTTTACTCTATTTCATCCTAATTTTTTATATAAATTGTATATAATATGGAGGTAAGTGGATTGATTTATATTTTAAATTTTTTTATCATTTGTCCATTCTCTTCAGTAATAACTCTAAATTTAGCTCCAAATAATAAGTTTAATTCTTTACTAAATTGGATAATTATGGAATAAATAAGTGTCAGGTTTCAGTTCTGACTAAACAGTCGACATATTAAAATCCCTCTGTTCCAACAAATAGCTAATAGTGTATATTTCGGTTTTTATATTTTATATTTTATTTTCTACATATTTGAAATACCATTGAACCTGGTACCATCGGCTTACAAACATTCATAAACCCACTAGGCCACCCGATCATGTAATAATAACACATAATATGTATACACATATTTTTTTTAATATTATTATCCTATTTTGAGGCTTTAAAAAATAAATTTTAATTTAATATATATTATTATATTGATGTCGAATTTTACAATAAACATAAATTACAACTTGTTACTAGTTTTATCTTTTGTTACACACATAAATAATTTTTATATTAGGCCTATTTTTAGGCTATTTCCAGGCAAAACCTTTTTCCAAAGCGGTTTTTAAGTAATGTTACAAGCAATATTTTTTTTTTATCTCCTGATATAACTTGTCTAATTAATTTTTTTTATAAAATATTATATTTTAAAAAAAATTCCATAGCCCCATTTCAAATCGCTATTTAATCGTTATGAAAATCAAACCAGTTTGATTTCTATTTCCGATTAAAAATTGTAATCTGGATTGTTTTTTTTTTAAAAAAATTATATTATATAAAAAATTAATTTGTCAAGTTAGTATCCTTTGTTTGCAAATTAAAAAAAAAGATTACTGGTACTACCCAAAAACCGCGTTGAAAATACGTTCTGCCTGGAAATGGTTTTAGAGATGTGATATCTCGTTTTATATATATCAATACGATTATTTATATTTATGTAAAATAATTTTTTATATCATTAATTTAAATATACATTAGTTACTATTTATACTGATCTCAAATTTTGTCTACAATCGAGATTAATTAACTCTATTTTAACGTTTGGGCTTTATACGCCTTTAAAAGTTATAGGCTGTGTTCTTAACTTTTTTAGTAATTAAAATAATTTATTTAAAAATACTATTTCTTTAAAAATTAAATGAAATAAAAAATCAATTTGGCTCCTATTTAATTTCTCATAATTAAAACTGAAAGACTCGGATTTAAAAAGGAAAGATATGTGAAATGCTATAATTACTAAGGGTTTATATTAGGGCATTAAATTATTATAGATCCAGAAAATATACGTATTTTTTTTATAAATATTTAAAATAAGTTTGAAAGGCATATATCCTCAATTTTTCCTATATTATAATACAAATATTTGCTAAGTATCGACCAAATCTATATATTTCACACAATTATGGACATTATTTTTTTAATAAAACAATTTCTGGATCACTTTCTGCTATTTTTTTAAATGTAAAAGGGTTAGAGATTATCAGCAAACTCATGTATATGCCAAACTTTATACTATAATAATACATTCATTATAAATGTAGAGGTTTTCAATTGAATTCTTGTTCTAAAAAATAACTCTTTTACTATAACAATATTTTGATAGTTGTTAGCAAAGCATTAATAATGTATTCTTTTTAAAATTTATGAAGGGAGTACCATTATAAATATATTAAAAAAGGTATATAATCTGTAATTATCGCCTCTTAAGGTAGGTATTTTTTTTAGAAAGTATAGATTTTTGAGAGGGGTTTGCATCCAGCCAATATCCTGTCATGTACACTCAGATTCTAAGTATTAAGGCTATCAAATTTGGTATCTTTAATGTACACATATTACACTTATAAAATCAAAATGATTAAAAATATTTTTTCCCAATTGTGTCTAATCTGGATATTACCATATGTTTGTTTAAAAAAATATATATAAATTTGATAATCCAAACTAGATAAATCAATTCATATAATGATTTTGTCCAAATTTTATATCAAAAATTATAAAGAAACATTTAATAAATATATAAGAAAGAAAAATATTGTTTGTATTACATCGTTACAATGTTGTGCATATTTACATCTTTACAACACTAAATAAAAAGTCTTAAATTTATTCTTATAAATATTTATAACAAAATTTGATATAGAATGCTGGCTATTATGTATTACGACCTAGGACACAGCCTTAAAGCCTAAGCAGAGGAAATTAATAATAAGTGTTTTCAAATATAAAATTTGGCTTCCAATTTTTTTGAAGATATAAAATAACATTAGCAGTCCTTTTAATCCCAATAAAATTGAATTGAAATATGGCTGCCAATGTTTTTGAAGCGAGAAAATATTAATCACAATAATATTCAATTAAAATATGGCCGCCATTTTTTTGAGATTAGGAAAATTAATATTAGTTAAATTAATCGAATTTTAAATCAATTAGTTTCAAACATAAATTTTCTTAGAAAAAATGGCCACCAATTTTTTTGAAACGAGTAATTGATTAGTCATTAAGTGTAGTCATTTTAATTTCGATTATTTTTAAACATCGATTTTTAGGGAAAAATGGCTGCCAGTGTTTTTGAAGTAAAATTTATGACTCGTTGTAAAATGACATTAGTCGAATTTTAATACAGTCAATTTTCAACGGTACACCGGCAAAACTCAAGGACAGAATGAAATTTTATAATGAAGTGGAAAACGATACAACCACCATACCTAAAAGATATAACTTAGTTATATTTGGTAAGAGGAAATTGTCTTCAAAAAAAACGATAGGACCAGCTACTTTAAACATTAAAAATTCCATAGACAGCAAAAACTTATTACAGATATGTTCTAACTAGTGTTGTTAATTGGTTGGTTGTGTAAAACCCAGACCCGGAGTTTAGATCTAAAAATCGACTAAACCAGCTCTGAGCACGAACCCCGAGCATAGACGCGGAGTTCAGGCGGAGTTCAGACCCATGGTTTACACCCGGAATTCATACCCATGGGTTCATACCCATGGGTTCATACCCATGGGTTCATACCCCTGGTTCAGACCCGGGGTTCAGATGGCTTTTATCATAAGATATACGTTATTCCATCTTGTTTTAACTGGAAGAGGTATTTTTGTAGCCCCATTAAAAGATTGATATGTCAGCAATAACTTTGGTGAGATATGTAATTTAGAAACTAAAGCTCTATATTTATTAATTTATCATTCAAAAATATGAGTCTCTCATTAACGATTAGGTTTAGGAAATGGGCCGGGAACGTGACCATATTAAACAGTCTTATAATTTAAATTGTAATACTTTTTAATTAATTCTACGGCTTTTACCACGTTAGGACCGTTATCATGAGTAATCGATATTATATTATCTTTAAATTGGAAATCATGTAAGAAGGTTATCATGAGTGATGATATATCATCCCTTGTATGTGGATGGGGGAATGATAAAATATCCAAGACTAGATTTATAATATTCCAGTCATCGTTGAGGTAGTGAAGTATTAATGAACAGAAAGATGAACCATTATGGGATTTCCAGATATCTGTTGTAAAGACAAATTTATTTTTAAAGTTATTTAATTCTTTTATGAGTTGTATTTTAGCCATATCATAAATTCCTAAATTTTTGGATATTGTTTGTCGACTTTAAGATGGCTATTTGTATAAAATATATCATTTTTTTAAATGATTAATTATCTACTAAACTTAATGGACTATTAGTTTATATTAAGAAGTTTAAAATGAGTTTGTTCATTATAAGGTTCTCATGTATAAGGGGCTTTCTAATCCAGTGCATCGTATCTTTGGTCCTTATTTCTGATAACTCCGTAAATATCGTCGACACGGACTTGAGGTGTTTCTTCAGATTAACTTAATAAAAATATTATGTATTTTGTGCATTTTTATACAAAAAATAAGATTTTATGATAAAATACAATGAAAAGTCTAATTTCTGGCTAAATTACTATTAATAAATGTTAACGATAACACAAAAATATATGTCAAAAATACAACAAATATAATATGCAAAATATTTTTTAATAAGAAAATGTAAATGTTTTATGACAAAATAAAGCTACTCCAAAAATTAATAAAAAGTAATATACTTTGAGATGTATTATAACTGTACATTGTCGGACAATATAGATATTTCTTTCTAGACTTCTTGGGGGTCAGCGCAAAAGAATTTTTTATATCTACTAAATTGTATGATGTAGAATCCCCAGAAAATGAAACAACTAATTCTTGTCATTGATGAGATAATAAAAATTCCTCGTTTGGAATGTTTATAAGTAATTACATTGCAGAGGTTAATTGTCCATCATTGATAAAATAATCAGACTCAGACCATTGATCCTCATTTTCTAGATTGGTAAACATATCTTTATTATAAAAAATTTAAGTGATATTTAGTTTTGTAAAAAATAATAAAAGCGTGAAAACTGTAGAGGAAAACTTTTAATATTTGAAATAAATTATTTTTTTA